TTTTTTTTTTTTTAATTGAAGCTCATTTTCAAGGGTAAATGGTACAGACACATGCAATCAATTCAGTTATGATGTTTTAGCAAGAACAGCTTGTTATCTGTATGACATTCACTAATTTTGAAAATGTGGTGGGAACAAAGTGCAATAAAGATGAAATGAGCAACTTCTTAGTGCTCATTAGTAATTTTTAGTTTTCAATGGTAACTGATATAACCTGATAAAATACAAAACAGAAACTCAGTTGCTGCTTATAAAACCACCTCTGAAAACATCAGAGTTTCAGATATTTTCATCTTGTACATATTTGTGAACAAAACTGAAATTGGCAAGGACTTAGTTTGGAAATATCTGCAGGCTCAGTCCTGCCAACACTTCTGTGTGTGATTAACTGTATGACATGTAAGTAAAGTATTTGTAGGATTGGACTGTAAGGCAACTTTTAAAATATTTTCAAGATAAGTCATCTTTAGTTGGAAAAACTATATATTAAAGGTGATTTTTGTGTTTATTTATGAGGGAAATCTTCAAATATGGATACAATAAATAATGTTAATAAAGTTGAAAGACAAATTGCTCAAAATATTGAGTGACCTAATTCCTAGCTCACGTTGACTTGCTACGTGGTACTATAATTTACCAGTGCTTCCCTTAAGGTATCCTTTTGTTTCCCAGTATCTCACCTTTTTACTTAAAAAAAAAAAAATTAATAAATAATAAAAAAAAATATATATATATAATATATATATATATATAGCTGATAATGACTGCGAAGAAAGCCTCAAGTAGGTGAACTGAGTATAACCAATGCAGAAATATCTACACAAGTCTGCAGGGAGCCTGGAAAGATCACTGCTAGCTGGATAACCCATCCTGTTCAGAGCACCGTGCCCAATGAAAAGAATTCAGGTGTCACCATTGACAAACATTGCATTCCTCATGTGAGCCAGGACAGGGAAGGTTCACATATCTGCATAGTCTACTGGGAACTACATCTTTTTGTTGTTACAGACAGGGTACCGTTTAGGAAATAACCCTTCTTATTGCTCTTCCTTCATCAGAATGAGCCTGAGAGAGTCCATAGGCATAATGACACCCCTCTGAATGGGAGCTGGGACAAAGGAGCCCAGTTGAACATCTGTGCATGCTTCCATTTTGATTTCTCAGTGGTTTATGACTGGAAGAGAGTTAAAGTTTTTTACAGTGGAGACACCTAAGCAAGTCATTGTGCCATGTTTGGTAAAGGATCATACAGTAAAGAGTACAGCTGGCCAAACCGGGGCCTGGATCAAGTAACTTGGAACATTATGGGAGCTTGGGCTAGCGAGCTACATGGTGGTAAGGGCTAATCAAACACCTATCAGGAGGGATCATCTAACAGGAAGATTTCCTGAAAACAGTGTGGCAGTCATGAAACTCCTCTCCTTCAAAGTACTCTGTATTTAGTCTACTTATCTAGAGTGTGCTAATATGGAACGAACAAGTTTGTGAAATTATTCAGATAGTGTGAGAGTTTAAATGTTATAACCGTATTAAATCCTCTGCCTTAAAGGCCACATGTCAAGTCATGAGATTCTGAGGAGTAAAGGACCTTGAACTTCACTCATAAACTAGAACACACTTTTATTTTCTCTGTAGTCATGTCGTGAACAAATGGAGTAATGATGTCAGAGCTGCACTGCTGATGGCAAAGACGTGCTGATGCTCTTTCCTATTGCGATAGTGCTAGGTAGTCTATGAAGAAACCCAGTCCATGTCTACCTATTATTGGAGTGCTGCTGCTGACGCCTCGGCTGTGCAGTGTCTCAGTTCTACATTCTCTGTATTCCTGCATACAGCCTTTACTGAGGCCAGATGCACCTAAGCCAGTGCTTGAGAATAATTAGTTCTGATGAAATTACAAGGATATGTGCTAAAGAAGTAGCTTAACTGAATGAATGAATACCTGACTACCCCTCTTGTATCTATATGTCATTAGAGTACAGTATTCTGAGGGCTGTGACATCATAGCTACAAAAATGGCTTTATTAAGTTCAAGAGAACAAAAACACTTTTTCAGATAACTTGGAACTAAGATTTGGAATAATTAATTTGTGTAGTTTCTGGGCTAAATTATGAGACCATGGTTCTTCCTAATGGTCATCGTATTTGCTTGTTCTAAGCACTTCAAATTTGTAAGCCTTTTGGGTCAGTGACCATCTTCCTGTGTGTTTGTGCAGTGTACCTGTCAGAAGGGGCTCTGATCCTGAATAGGTTTTCAGCACTGATATGAATATAAGTGCATAATGCCCCTATATGTTCATCCATAAAACTGCAATAAAGTGCTTATACTGATGTACCTCTGAAGGCAACACTCCTAGAAGCCATGTGTTGCTGAGAAGTATTTAACAACTAACACTTCGGTTATAACTCAAATATGCAGGATAGCTCAAGATGTTGCGGTTTTGTGTTTTATATTTTGTTAAAGCTGTAACTAGTGGTATGACCCCTCCAGTGCATAAAGCATATCACTGCAAACTAGAGCAAGACTAGACACCCACAGCACTCTGCCTTCCTCTTGTTGTCCAGCGTCCTCAGCACCTTCCTGGGGGAGCCTTGACTAGGGATGGTGACTTCGGTTGTACCAACTAGTATATCTACATATATTACCATGCTGCTAGCAGGTGTGTGGGATCAGCTGTGAACCTGTATCAAGGTGCTGACTTTGCCGGGAGAATGGGTGGAACAGCTTCATTTTGTGACAAGAATTATGATCCTTCTAGCTGCCCCAAATCAGAAAATGGAGCAAAGACAATATAATAGTTTACCCTGTCCTTTTTTCTTGCCTTCTCATGGTTCCTGCACTTCCTTAACAGCTGGGAGATGCAGATACCACAGTGGTTTTAATCTTCTCCAATTTTAGCTGGAAAGACCCTAAATCTCCCAGCCCCCTGGAAAAGACAGCTTTCTCTATAAGAGTACTTGCTTTCTCCTGCCTAGATTCATGGTCCATGAAACCTGCGTTTTCTGTGCTTTAATATATTTGAATTTGATGTGTACTCAGAATATATGTGGGTGCATTATACTGACTCCTTCCTTATCTTCTAAAGACTTGTGCAGTCATGAATATTTCTTCTGTTAGACCCTTTTAAATCGAGTGACTAACTGCAGGGACAGAAGAGTTTTCAGCTTCCCCTTTTTTCATTTTACTTCTGACAAATCTACAAGTAAACTTCCAAAGACAAGTGCTAATAAACAGCTGCCCTGTGCAGTGTTTCGGAATGCATTATAGAAAATAAGTAACTATATACTGACTTACCCTTATGTTTGATATAAAAAGGCTTTGATAAATGCCTGTGAAGGACCCCTGATAATAGACAAAAGAGAAGGTTGTAGAAAATTGCTTTTTTCTGCTTGATGCTCAAAAGGAAGTATCTTTGCTTAAAAAGAGACTCATGTTGATTATACTAAAATTGTTTTGTTTAACTAGACTTGGTGGCTGGGGCTCAGAAGAAACAACGTAATAGCAAGTGTTGTTGTTTAGCTCTTTGTTTCTTGGGTACAAGAAATTTGGTGCTAGATCTGCAGAGAGACTTATTGTGCTGTAAGGAATTTATATAGAAGAGTGGATTCACACGTTCCATTTCTGAAGCATTTTTGCTTTACTGCCCTTTGTGCTATTTTAAATATGGTGTTCTAGGAAAAAGCCCCAGCATCTGTTTCTGCATGTGACATATTGTGCTAATTGTGTTAATATCTTGCCTGCAAAGTTTAGCTACGGTTATGGGGAATTTTTTTTTAATTTGTGGTGGAATTTGTAAATAGCCATCTGTTTGAAGTCTAAGTTTTATATCCTCAGAGTTGTACCTGTGTAGAAGATAAAATACCCTGTCTGTTGTGTTATTATGGTGTATCACTTTACAGTACCCACAATCATGGTAGATGCCTTACAAACATATATTGTCCCAGCCACAAAGAACTAGCCATTTTTAGATATGGCAACATGAAGTGCTAGGGAGAGACTAGAGAAGAAAGTACTTTCAGGAAGCAGTAGGTATTCTTTATCATAT